ATATATAATATATATGTATATAATATATATTATATATATATATATATATATATATATATATATATATATATATATATATATATATATATATATATATATATATATATATATATATATATATATACACAACATATGTGTACACACACACACACACACACACACACACACACACACACACACACACACACACACACACACACACACACACACACACACACATATATATATATATATATATATATATATATATATATATATATATATATATATATATATATATATATATGGAAAAGTCACGTTTTAGTGTTCCCTTTCTTACTGTAGTTATGCTTCGTTTTTTAAACCTCTGTAAACAAGCTCCAATGTTAGCCTTTTTGTTAATTTCCTCAAGGAAATGCTGTTGTATTCTTAAGGTTTTGACTATTTTTTCTTGTTTGTACTCTGTTCTCTGAATAAGGTTTCCTGTGTACCTTCACGTACCTTCCAGTGGTGATGAATATCCCTGAGGACTCTTTCGTTCATGTTCATAGTAGGATAGAACATAGTATTGTAACTGACTAGGGACTGGTACCCGCCGTGATAGAGGTAACTATTTACCATCTTTTAACGATAAATATATGTTCAAATAATAACCATTTTATTCGACTGGTGAATGATGATGATGATGATGATGATGATGATGATGACGAGGATGAACCAGTCGACGTCACCCGGTCAAAATATACCATAGGACATAGTGCAGTATCTTATGGGCGAGTCGCATTAGACTTAACCATAGGATCTCTTGACCAAATGTAAAAAAAAAGGATTTGGTTTGATTAGTATGTGTATCTCATCTTCCTGGAGAAGCTCTGAGAAATGAGAGAATTGATAGGAATTTTCATATCAGTGTCGAAGAGAGAAAAGGAATAGAAATTAGAAATATTAGTCGACAGAGGGTCTTGGCAAGGGATTTCTTAAACTTAAGGCTAGTGTAAGCTACTCTTTGCAGTCTATGTAAATGTAATGTTGTTTTATTCTCTAGCTTGATATTGATACTACGTGAGAGAGAGAGAGAGAGAGAGAGAGAGAGAGAGAGAGAGAGAGAGAGAGAGAGAGAGAGAGAGAGAGAGAGAGAGAGAGAGAGAGAGAGAGAGAGAGAGAGAGACTCTAAATTATTTACAACTCAAACACATACATCGACAATGATGACAGACTGTGGACCAGTCGACGTCACCCGTTATACCATAGGACATAGTGCAGTATCTTATGGGCGAGTATTAGACTTAACCATAGTATCTCTTGACCAAATAAAAAAAAAAGATTTGGTTTGATTAGTATGTGTATCTCATCTTCCTGCTCTGAGAAATGAGAATTGATAGGAATTTTCACAGGTCGAATAGAAATTAGAAATATTAGTCGACAGAGGTAAGGGATCTTAAAAGGCTAGTGTAAGCTACTCTTGCAAGTCTATTGTAAATGAATGAAGCTTGGGTTCCAATTGGTATATGAGAGATATTGCGCAGAGAGAGAGCGACTAAGTACTTAAGAACGGGTGTACACAAGTACCCTAAACTATATTTGTATGCAACTCAGTACACATGCAAAGCACGACTGTTCTATCACGCACACACTTAAGAACTAGTACGTACGCTAGTATGCTCACGTATACATACATATATATATTTTAGAAAGAGGGACTTTGGGGCAAGGGGTATCCAAAGTGACTTGAGTTGTGATGACCCTTGATTGTCAACGGTCGCCATGTTCGAATATGCAAAATACCCACATGTTAATCTCCTCCTTTTCTTTAACTTTCAATGGCATAATGTATCAGAAACGCGATTCGTGGATAAACTTGGCTATATTTTTACCGCTGATGTCAGTAACACCTGAATTCCTTTATGTGGTAACGCCATAGTAAAGGGACATCTGCAGAGTGTACTTCCAGTGGTGACGTCATGAAGTGCCAGTCGGTTTATAACTGTTCGTGTCAACAGAAGTGCCAACCTTGGAAAACATCTGGCGCTGGTGTTCAAGAAGTGACATCAATAATGCTAGAAAAGACGTGAGAGAACGTGTAATTACGAGACCATACCTCTGACTTCGATACGTGGCTACTGTAAACATCACTGTACTACCCACACAGTATTCCCTACGAGATTCCACACTGAAAACATCACTATATTTTCACACAAACAGTGAGACGTCTGCTGCTTTTTTTCCCACGGAATATACAGTGAGACTTGTAAACATCTTACAGAGCTTGCAGTAAGCCCCAGCTGTATTTTACCACAAAACATACAGTGAGACTGCAACTGTATTTTTCTACGGAGCATACAGTGAGACTCCAGTTGTATTTTCCCAAAGGATATACAGTGATACTCCTGTAAGTATCCCACAGAATTTACAATGAGACCAGCTGTATTTTCCAACAGAACATACAGTGAGATTCCAGCTGTATTTTCCCACAGAACATACAATGACATTCCAGCTATATTTAACCCACAGAACACACAGTGAATCTCCAGCTGAGAGAATCACTGTCCTATCCCACAGAACATACAGGAAGTGTCACCATATCGCACCCCAGAAGGATGTGCCACTCCCTTCGTCTCGAGGAAGTGCCAAGCGCCACAGACAGTTTTCAACAAGTGCCACAATAACAACAGGCTCATTTGCAATGGAAAAAATCGCCTTCTCTTCTCTCCTTTGGACGAAATGCCAAAGACAACCCCCCAAAAAATAATAATTAAAATAAAAACGCACAAATGAATTTTAAAAAAGTGTTGGATTTTGAAAGTGTTAGTTTAAGGTGTCTTGGAATAAGTGTACTCAGAATATTGTTCCAAATCATTTGTAAATAAGAAGGAACTTTGTGATATATAAATTGACTTCTTACTATCATGTCTAACCTTTCGTGTGTTATTTGTACTGCTGTCTAGGGCTATGCCTCATCTTTACTCACGACTTTCAATAAAGTACATATTTCAGATGCTTTTATTTAATCCTCATTGACTATAAACACACATATTAGTATCATTATGATTGTAGCTATTATTATATTTATTATTATTATTATTATCATTATCATTATTAGGATGATGATGATGATGATGATGATTATTATTATCATTATTATCATTATCATTATCATATCTATTGTTATTACTATCATCATTATTATGATGATAATGATGATTATTATTATTATTATCATTGTTGTTTTCGTTACTATTGTCACTATTATCATTATTCTTATTGTTATCATTATTCTCTTCCTCATAACCATCATTATCAACATTGTTATATCCTTATCATCATCATTATTTTCTTTTTATTATTTTTATCCTTGTTATTGTTGATGTCATCATTATCATCATTATTGGCATTGTTATCATTACCATTACTGTTATCATTATTGTTATTACTATTATCATTATCATTACTATCATAATTATTATCATCATCATTATCATCAACATTATCATTATTGGTAATATTATCATTATTAATATCATTAACATTATTTTTATTTTTACTATTGTTATTCTGTATTATCATTACTATCGCTGTTATTATTATCACTATCATCATCATTATCATCATTGCTGTTATTATCGTTATCATCATTATCATTTTTGTTATTATCATTAATATTTATATTATTATTATTGTTGTTGTTGTTGTTCCTGTTGTTGTTGTAGTTTTGTTTTTCATCATCACCATTATCATTAACATTCATCATTATCATTATTATTATTATTATCATTATTATTATCATTATTATTATTATCATATCATTATTGTATTGTTATTATCATTATTAGAATATTTATTTTTGTATATCATCAATATCATTATTATTATTATCATTATCATTATTATCATTACTAACATTATCATGATTATCATTACTTTTATTATTATTATCATCATTTCCATTATTATCACTACCTTTATTGTTCCTATTATCATCATTCTTATTTCATTATAATCATTATTGTCAATATCATTCTTCTTAATATTATTGTTACTGTTATCATAATTGTTATTATCATTATTATTATAATCACTACTATACTTTATCATCATCGTTATCATTCTTATTATCATTCTTACTAGTAGCCTGATTGTCATTATTGTCATTATTATTAACGTTCTTCTCATGATCATCATTATTATTATTATGATTATCATTGTTAATATTATCTTTATTATTATTTCATTATCACTCATTATTATTGTCGTTGTCGCTGTTGTTGGTAGTGCTGTTGTTATTATCGCTATTATCATTATTATCTTTTTTTTATCTTATTCGTTTCTCTTATTGTTATCATTATCTTTATTATTACTATTATTATTATTATTATCATTATTATTGGTAACATCACTATTATCACTATTATTATTACTCTTATTGTTATCATTATCGTTATCATTACTATTATTGTTATCATTATAATCATTATCATTATTAATATTATTATCATTATCATTATCATAATTATCATTATATCCACCATTGTTATAATTATTATTATTATCATTATCATTATTATCACTGTTCATATTATTATTGTTTCTATCACTGTAATCATAATTATCATTATTTTTTTCGTTATCATTATCATTATTATCAATTCCTTTATCATTGCCATCATCATCAGCCTCATCACCTCCATCATCATCAGCATTTAGTATCATTATCTTCACATCTGTCATCACTATCCTCCTCTTCCTCTTTTTCCTCCTCCTCCTCTTTTTTCCCTTCCTCTTCCTCCTTTTTCCCCTCCTCCTCTTCTCTTTTCCTCCTCCTCCTCCTCTCCTCTTTTTCCTCCTCCTCCTCTTCCTCTTTTTCCTCCTCCTCCTCTTCCTCTTTTTCCTCCTCATCATCTCTTTCTTCCTCATCATCATCTTTTTCCTCCTCCCCTTCCTCTTTTTCCTCATCCTCATGAACAAGAGGAATATATTTTATCACCATCACAAAAGGAATAACAATGAAAATAAGGAAGAAAACATTAGATCAAAGCGTAACTTTAATATACAAGCATATAAACCTTCGGGCAAGCAATATAAACAACAGGATGTACACATATTAAATGATACAAAAGTGACGCTGAACTTCAGAATTTCACATCAAAACATTTAAAAAGGAAAAAAAAATAATAACGGATATTCACATTTGAGTTTGATGTTTCAAGAATTTTAATATATTTTTTTTAAATGTATTTTTTTTCTTCGTCAGATTTGAACGCATACGAAACAAAAGAGTATCGGATTCTGTGAGGCTCATGTGCCAAACAGAGTATTGAAACGAGTCTAAACTAACACGGACTATGCTAATTTACATATAGGTTCCATTAATTCCTAGCACTTATATTTTCTTTTTTTTTTCTTACTTTTGAAACATGTCATATGTAGTGTGTATCTTTTTCTGTTTTTTATATATCTATTATTTTTTTCATCTTTTAAAAAGGATTGGAAGTGTCATTGTATAAGCCAATTATGTGCATTCAAATTAACAGAATTTTCCATTTAGTTTATTTAGCTTATACATAATATTGCATCTGTACAAGAATCAAGTAAATGTACAAAATACATTGCAGTGTCATTATGACATTGCAAGAAATTAATTATACAGAAACAATTCAGTTATACATAAAACTAATTCACAACAGTATCAGTGATATAGAAGCAATTAATCTCTCATATAATAATTTACACGAATCAGGATATATACACAATAATCTTTAAAAAATATCAGAACCACTTTTTTTAGTGAGGATGCAGGCGGGGTGTGGACGGTGCAATACTGGAAGAAGAAAAAGGAGAAAAGGCAAAGAGGAAGATTAAAGGGGAAGATGAGGATGAAGAAGAAGAAGGAGAGGAGGAGGAGGAGGAGGAGGAGGAGGAGAGGAGAAGAAGAGAAGAAAAAGAAGAAGAAGAGAGAAGAAGAAGAAGAAGAAGAAGAAGAAGAGAAGATTATATGATGGAGGACCAGAAGAAGAATGAGAAGGAGAAGGAAGAAGAGGAGGAGAAGGATGGCAAAGAAAAAGAAGAAGATGGTGAAGAGGTATAAGAAGAAAAGAGAAAGGAAGAAAAAAAACAGGGAGGAGGTAAAGTGAGAGAAATGAAAAATGGCAAATCATCACTCATTGAAGAAAATGCAACACTGGAAAAAAGAGAGGAAGAAAAAGACGACAAAGAAAAAAAAAATAAGAAAAAGCTAAAGTTCTCAAACTGTTATACAGTAAAGAAGAAGAGGAAGAATAAGATGAATGCTAATAAGAAAAAGCAGCAGTAGAAGACGAACAAGCAGACAGAGAAGAAAAAGAAAAAGGAAAAAAAAAAAATCCAGTCACACCTTCCAGTAACACACGCCCCAGATACTCCCCCCGGGGCGTGTCTCCATCCCCACGCCCCCAAAACACCCCCTGCATCGTTCTGAATGAGTCCACGGGTTTCCATCTTCCCCGATGACGAGACATGAGCTCCGCCAATGGTCCCGCACCTTTCTCTACGGTCCAAGCAATCTTCCCATGACACGTTTTCTTCGTTTGGATGTTTTGCTTTGTTTGAACTGAGCGATGTATTCGTGAACGTGGATAAGGGTGGTTGGTTTGGCTTTTTCCTTTTCCGTGTTTTTATCCAGCGTTTCCTACATCTACAGTTGAAGCAGAATTCCCTTTGGATCCTTCTCTTGTCTTGGTGTTCTGGTTGTCGTGTTTTGTGCGAACGACGAATACTTATGTGATGTATATATATATATATATTATATATATATATATATATATATATATATATATATATATATATATATATATATATATATATGTAGTGTATAAGACCTCAGTTTCACGTTCCTAGTGCTAAACGCTTGCGAACGCCTCGACGCGTTGTGTGATATGCTCGACAGCACAGCTAAACCCGATCCTTCTCAACTACCTCTGGCCGGAGACTGTCTTCCCCCCAATACTCTCTATCCTTGGCTCTTGGATCACTTACGCCAACACTTATCCGCGGAAAGTGCAACAGGCTGATCCATAGTGGTAACAGGTTCTAAGAGAGACTCGCCCACGCAGCCGCGCCCGACGCTCGACCTGATCTCTGTCGACGCAGGGAAGGCTGCTGGAGAGAGCGATTCCCTCTTGCTCAGCGCCTCGTCCTTCCCCTCACGACCCCGAGCAGGACAAGTTGCTCGTTCTGTTCAGGGGGACGAGCTGGCTTTCTTTTTCGCCTTTCTTTAAATCATGGAAATACATCGAAAAGTTCGACTGAATTGCGGTTTCCGCGAGGACTTGCTACGTCCTTCCTTGGTTTCTCTCTCGCTTGGAATCGTTAAGCTGATCGTAGCGAATTTTCTTGTTCTTTTTGCAAGGAAAATGATGGAAGGGTTATATATATATGTATATAATAGCTTTCCCTCGGTATATAATATATGTCTGGTTTTACCTCTCTGTTTCATAGACGGTTGGTCAAATTGTAAATGGTAATGTATAACTCTTTCTCTGCAGGGAAAAATCAAATTCATTGAGAGGTACGTTTGTAAAACAAAACAAAAAAAGAAAAAGAAAAAGTTGAAATATGGGTAGGAGGAATTGGATATGTTGAATTCTGAGACGGCATTTTGCCCTTTACGCTCTAAGATCACAACTCATACGAGATGAATTTCGAACAGTGTATCACTGTGCAGTTCTTTCCGATGCTTAACTGCACTTACTTTTCTCTATACGTTTTATAGATAAGCATTCAACAAAAATCTATATTGTCTTGCATTTAGAGAATGAGACACTTACGTTCATTCTCTAAAGCCCTTTTTCATGAGTGATATTGCGTTCCCTTTCATCATAGATCGGCATACTCGGGTCCCCTGCAGACCTCGAAGTGGTCCAGGAACTGGAGGTGCTTCTCCGGAGGGAACAGCATCTGGCAGGAGGGGCACACGAGGTCCCGCCGCGTCATGGTGGCTACGCCGTCGTTGGCGGGCGCCGCCTTCGCCGCGTCTGGCCCCTGGCCCGCCACCCGGGGCGCCCACCCCACGGGCGACCCGAGCGGCTCGCACTTGTTGCCCAGCTCGTAGCTCATGATGGCGGAGGAGATGTTCTTGGACGCCATGGAGCGGAGGTCCTCGCAGGGCCTCTGGTTGACCGCCGGCAGCGGCGACGTCGCGGCCGAGTTGGTGGCGGACGACAGGTTGGACGACGGCGGCGAGTTCACGGCGGGGGTATAGTTGAAGGTGGCGGTCGAGGACATGCTGTTGGGCGACGTCGGGCCGCTCGTGCTGTCCTCGTGCGACGCGCGACGCGCCTGGTCCAGCTGCTGGCCCGACACGGCCCGAGCGGTGCGCCACGGGAGGCCCGAACTCTGACGATTGTTGGCCTGGCCGCCCATCAGCCTGACCCATGTCGAGTTGACCAGCTTACCCCCCTGCTGCCGCCCGGGAGTGCTGCTGCGCCCCGGGCTCTCGACGGACCACCAGTGCTCCTCCTTGACGACGTTCGAGGCCGGATGCTCCAGGATGGGCGGGCTCTTGACTCCCGACGGCGGCAGCGTTTGTCTGTACGACTGACCAGCAGATACAGAGTCTGGCGTCGGGCTCTTGACGGAGGAGGCGGAGGTGCCGCGCGAGGAGGGGCACGGCTGGGGGCTGCGGATGCCATTCTGCTCGGGCCGGAGCGCGAAGAAGATCGCGCCGGGGATGCCTCGCCCCTCGGAGTTGAGCCCGAACGTGGTCAGGGACACCCCGGGCGAGGAGGAGCGCGACGACGTGGCCGACGAGTAGGTGGAGGCGCTGGAGGTCGGGTGCGCCCCCGCCGTCCCCGCCGCCGTCGTGGTCACGGTGATCGAGGCGAAGGCCGTCGAGCTGGCAGAGGCGGCCCCGGTCTTCGGCAGGCCGTTCGCCGCACTCGCGTTGGGCGCGGCGGCGGGGCCTGCCGAAGGGGGGTTCGCTGCCCCGGCGGAGGTCGCCGCCGCTTTGTTTACAGTACCTGCTGACGCTTTGGCAATGACAGTTGTGTTGTCAGCGGCCGACGACGGGTTTGAACTGGCTGCTGTTTTCGTGGCCGTATTCTTTGTAGAGGCGCCGGCTTTACTGGAGTTTACTGTTGTTGTCTTATTGGGGACAGCTGCGACTGCAGTGGACGTCCCCGGAGTACTTCTGCTTGTAGTCGCTGATGTATTTTGACTGTTTGTAACAGCTGTAGTTCTGCTGGGAGCAGCAGTGGTGACTTTACTAGAAGTTGAGGCTGTAGAGTTTCTTGCGGTGGTTGTGGTGACTGATGTTGATGTTGTAGTACTGTTAGAAGAAGCGACTGTTGTATTTTTAGAAGCCACTCCCGTCGTGTTACTTGATGTGGTGACTGTGCTGTTACTACTGGTAGTTACTTTGGTATTGTTTGATGCTGCAGCTTTCGTGCTGGAGGCTACAGATTTTGTATTGGTGGAGGAGGCAGCTGTTGCGCTGGAGGAAGCAGTCTTCGCAGCGCTTGAAGGGGCGCTTGTGGTGTTGCCAGTGGTGGTGACTTTGGTGTTGTCAGACGTAACTACCGTTTTTGGAGGAGACGATGAGTTGGATGGTTTGGAAGCATGATTATTGGCAGCTGAATTAGACGACTCAGTGGCCGCAGAAGATGCGGCGGACTGTGTTTTCTTCGGAGCGTTATCGGCCGCAGCGGCGGTGTTCACGCCTCCTTTAGCCGGCGCCGCGGCTTCCTTCCCGCCGCTGTTCTCAACTTTGCTGCTTCCGGAAGGCACCTCCTCCACACCGCTCTGAGCATTCGTGCTCGCCGGGGGCGAAACGCCTCCCTCGCCTTTGCCGCTCACGCTGGGGGCTTCGCCGTCGAGCTTCGCTCCGGGAGCCTGCGACGCGCCGCCTCCGCCGGCCGGGAAGGAGAGGCCGATGGCGGCCGGCGAGGAGTCGCTCCGGGCGTGCGCCGGCAGGAGCGCCTCGCCGTGAGGCTGGGCGAGCGCTGACGAAAGGCCGCTGACGGGGGGCGACTGGGCGCTCGAGGAGTCGGGGCGGACGCCCGTGCCAGAGGGGGAGGTTTCGCTGCGGGCGCGGGCGGAGGAGGAGGCCTGCGACGCTGCCTGCACCGCCTGCGTGATCTGCTTCATGGTCGACGGGCGCTTGTGGGCGACGAAGGGCTGGCGGAAGTTGATGGGCGTGAGGATGGTAGAGGTGATGGGCATGTAGCCCTTGGGCATGTTGGGCGTGGACGGGCTGCGGGTGAGGCTGGGGCCGCAGGGCGTCGGGGGGCCGCTGGACACCGGGGACACCGGGATGGCGCTCGCCAGGATGGAGCGCGCGCGGTGCTTCGCCGACTTCTCGTCCTCGATCAGCCCGACGCCCTTGCCCGCCAGCGGCTGCAGGTTGCCCAGCACCTTCGGCCTCGCGCCCATCGCCTCGTACTTCTTCTTCTCGTCAGCGACGACGCCGACGCCGCCCGTCTTGGATTCGGCGGAGGGGGCGTTCCCCGCCGTCGAGGCGCCCCTGCTCTCCTCTAGCTTCAAGGACCCGGGTTGGGGCGCGGGCGGCTCCTGCTTCTGCACCGCCGGAGTTTTGTCTGCGGCCTTTCCGAGCGTTGCCTGGCCCCCGGGGGTCGACTTGGAGGAGGAGGCGGGGTGCCCCTGGGTCTGTGGGCGCGAGGAAGGCTGAGCCCGGGGCTGGGCGTGAACCACGGGCGTCTGGTGCTCGGGCGTCGCGCCGCTGAAGGCGATCTGGTGCAGCATAGACACAGGGATCCAGCCCTTCAACGGCGCCTGCAAGAGAACGCGAGGGAATCAGATCCTACTCTCGGCCAAGAGGCGCTAGAGCTGCGGCTGATTGTTGAGAGGCGATGGGATTTATGATTCAGGTGTCATGGCATTTATAGGTCAGATTCTGTCACAGGAACCCGCAGGGAGAGTTACCCGTGGAGTGAGCTGCAGCTCCAGAGGCCGGCCGCTTCTTAGGCAGTGCGGCCCTTGACCTTGAACAGAGGTTAGGGGGAATACGACAAACGTTAGGGCCTCCGCGCTCGAGGAAGGGAAATAAAAGAAAATAATGAGGGAACAGACAATGTCACAGGTATTTTCTGAACGTCAATCTGGCATGCTGCTTCTTATCTCCACAAAAGACGTACATGAATACAGCCATGCACACAGACCCATACGCACATTACACACACACACACACACATATATGTGTGTGTGGGTATGTGATATATGTATACATATATATATATTTATATATATATATGTATATGGCTATATATATATATATATATATATATATATATATATATGTATATATATATATATATAATAGTGGTATATGTGTTATATATATAATATACTATTGTTGCTGTATATATATATATATATATATATATTATATATATATATATATATATATATATATATATATATATATATAATAGTATATATATATATATATATATATATATATATGGATATATAATATATATATATATATAATATATATATATATATATATATATATATATATATATATATATATATATATATATATTATATATAATGGGCTTCATGCGCAGGGTGGTGTGAAGCGATGGAGTGGTAGTCTAGTTAGTGTTAAGAGCTTCTGCATGCCTTCTCACTTACAGCTGCCACCGCTGGCTAGCCCCGTGCGAAAAAGGGAGCAGCTCTGCATAAGCCTCCCCTGCCAGTGCATAGCCTCTCCATCATCGAGACTCCCTGCAGTGCCTCCTCGTGGCCACCCATGGAAACTGGGTACCTTGCGGTTCCAGGCTAAACTGAGGGGGATCTCGGAGCAGCAGGGGGGCCCCAGAGGTTCAGGGCCATGGCCCACCGGCGTGTGGACACGCCCTGGCCCTGTACCAACTCCTGCCCCTAGCCCCCTGGGGTAAATGGGAGGCTCGGGGGAGGTGGGCCTTGCCAGTCCTCCTCCCCCCAGATATAAAACCAATCGGCAGTAAAACATATAAATGGAGAGGCTGGGAGGAGGGGAAAAGCCCCTCCCACCCAGCAAGTGAGGCGGACTGTGGGCCCTGCTGGGAGGGCGACTGCTGGAGCGCAGGCTGGGAACGGGGACTACCCGTCTCGCCTGCGCTCTGGTGGCCGCCAGCCCAGAGTGAAGCTTGTGGGGGAAAGCCCTCGGGAACCCCACAGGTGGATGATGGGGCACGCAGCCCGCCCCCCTTTTATATGGGGCAACGTCGGTGGGGGTGGCAGAGGTGGCATCCACCGGAGCGACTGCCAGAGGCTGAACCTCAGGCGGGAAGTCAGGGTGGGGGCTTGGAACGTCCGTTCTTTGCGTCAGGATGATCGGTTGCCTCTACTGTCGAGGGAACTGGGGAGGCTGAGAGTTGAGGTGGCTGCTCTCTCGGAGGTGAGGAGGCCTGGCAGCGGCACGACCTGTGTAGGTGGCTACACCTATTACTGGTCGGGCCGCAGCGATGGCCACCATCTCCAGGGAGTAGCCATTGCCGTCTCCAGCAGACTCCAGCCCTCGGTAGTAGAGGTTACTCCTGTTGATGAGCGTATAATGGTATTGAGATTGAAGCTTTCTTTGGCTTCATGTCTCTTATTGCTGTGTACGCTCCTACCGATGTTTGTAAACTTGACGTGAAAGAGATGTTCTACGCCAAACTTACATCTGTGGCAGACAGATGTCCCGACGAGATATTCGCATTGTTTGTGGGCGACTTCAATGCGGTATCTGGCTGTGATCGAGCTGGCTATGAGATGTCTGTCGTCCCCATGGTTCAGGAGCTGATGCCGGTAGCGAAAATAGCCTCCTTTTCCGGGACTTTGCTAGGTCCCAGAAATTGAGGATTTCTGGCTCCTGGTACCAGCGCCCAGACCCTCATCGCTGGACATGGTACAGTGATGCGGGTAACGCAGCCAAGGAGATCGACCACATACTTGTTAGCACTCGTTGGAGGATCCTTCAAAATTGCAGGGTGTACAGGAGTGCTGAGTTCTGTGGTACTGATCATAGATTGGTTGTGGCTACCCTCCGAGTCCACTTCAAAACCCCCCAGCGGTCAAATGATCACCCTAGGGTGTTTCATTTGGACAGGCTGAGGGAGGGGAGTGTGCCCGCGGGTTTGCTGAGGCAATCTCTGATCGTTTCGCAGTGCTTGGCAGTCTGACAGACCCTGTTCTTCTGTGGGATACCTTTAAGCGTGAAACGCTTGATGCAGCTCAAGATACGATTGGTGTACGCCCGAGAGCAGTACAGAATTCCATCTCGCGGGAGACACTGGAAGCCACAGATGCATGTCGTGCAGCTCGTCTGACAGGGGATCGGGAATTGCACCGT